AAAAAACTATTGCATTGTCTTTTTCAAGTGCATATTATTTAATGATCTTATTCTAAGAATAAAAATACTCAAATCATCTTATTTACCTAGTAAAATAAGGGGAAAATACATTTAAGAAATGTTTACTTATTTCTAGATCATTTTTGGTGTATATCCTGAAAATCTCTCAAAACCTTTGAGGATATGTGGAACGGATGTGAGAGGATCGGACACGTACAAGAGGACATTGTCCGCATATAACAAAATTTTAATAATAATAATAATTGAACTTTATTGATCTCACATTGGAGAATGTTACCTCTGCATTTAACCCATCCCTTTGAAGAGCAGTGGGCTGCCATTGTGCGGTGCCTGGGGAGCAGTGTGGAGGTTAAGGGTCTTGCTCAGGGAACCAAACTCAGAACCTCAGGATTCCAAGCTCTATACCATAATAGGCCGCCACTCCCTGTAAGTTCTTGGTTGTCTCTGAAGATCCGTTTGATATCAGTACATTGTCTAATAGTATTAGCTAAGGGCTCTATCACCAAGGCAACAAGCAAAGGGGACAAGGGACAGCGCTGTCTAGTCCCATGTTGGAGAGGAAAATAAGGTCTTTGGTTCTGACAGAAACCAAAGGGGAGGTTTATCACAATTTGACCCAGGAAATAAAAGGATCTCTAAACCACTTAGGAACATAAAACATAGTTTCATTTAACACAAACGTTTTCTCAGCCTCAAAGGCCAGAAGCACCTGTGGACGCTGAGAAGTACATGATATGTAAAGTATGTAGTAAGTACAGGACAGAGGAAGAGGGAAGGAGTAGCAACACTTGTATTTTTTATTATTTTTTTCCGTTTAATGTGAACTCCATATTTATTTGTATTTTGCTTAATTTTAACTTAATTTAACTTCATAGTTTTTTGCCCTGTAAACTGCTGGTAACCTTCATTTCAGGAGGGAGTCTTCCCAAAGGATCAATAAAGTTCTGACTAAGTCTAAGACTAAGGGCCGGATCTATCAAAGGTTTGCGTGTATAAAAACTTGAGCCATTTCACTTCGCACGCTAAAAAATGTACAAACTGATCTATCAACAGCGTGCTAAAAGGATTTGGTCTTTAAAACGTGCTAAA